CCAGAATGTGTCTGTGAAGTTTCAGCTCAAAATACTCCACAGATCATTTATTATATTACCCTTTTTGGGTGTGAGCAAAAACACACTGTTTTGGACTGTGCGGTAGTTTGTGATTGTTGGCACGTGGCTAAAGCTACAGTTTTCTCTGACTGTATTCACAGAGACCAGGGGCCCGTTTCTATAAGGAGGTTCAAATGCGAGTTAAAGCTTAAACTCTGAGTTGACTTACCCTGAGATGGGAAACTCTGAGTTTTTGGGTTCAGAACAGCTGAATTGAGTTAGTTCAGTCGACTCTGAGTAGTTTGACTCCGAGTTTAGCGCATGCACTATGAAAAGCCATAATCAATGGAGCTCTAGAATTATGATTCACCATGGCAACGGCACCGACAACAAGACGTCCGCATACTTCAGACTCAATACATAACTTTAATTCCTAATCACTGTTATAATATAAAAGGCAAAAACTGGCAGAACGGTAAATTATTGAACTAATGCTGATTTTCATGGTATACCACAGGCAAAAGAAAAAAAGAACAAAAAAGCAGCTAAATATGAAGTATAAAAACATAATTCAATCAGGTAAAGCTTTAAGCATAAAAGGTTCATGAGTGTAGGCTACATGACTTTACAAGCATTTGACATATAAATAAATATCATCCAGTGTCCATTTCAGTGCGCAGCAGCTTTTTCCACATAGTCTAATACTCTTTTAACATAATTAAATGTTCTCTAATCCAAACTGTTGCATTTCTTAATTAGAGTAATGGAATTAACATTTGAGTTAAAAACATTTTAACACTCCAGGATACCTGCACTCAGTGCTTGAAGTGGAAAAAAAGAAGTGCTGTTACTATTAGCGCCTTTTTGACCGTATTACCTTTTATTAATGCATGCCCTTACTGGATCCTTGAACTTTCCAGAAGTTTACAGGTTTCACATGACCTCCTGGGTAGTGTGCTTTATAGTGTCATTTCTAATCACCCAGACACTGACGCTTTGACTCAGTACCGGCAACATGTCAGAAGTGCCAGTACGCACGAAAAAGTGCCAGTACGATAAAGACTAAAATATTGAAGTGCCGGTACTTTTAAACCGGTGCGTACCGGCCCACTTCAAGCACTGCCTGCACTGCAAAAAATGTTTTTATTAGAGCCCGTCCACACGGAGATGCGTTTAGCTGTATATGTAAAACTTTTGTATCGTATTGGCGTTTCGTCCAGACGGATCCGGCGTTTTGGGAGCCTGAAACTGCTATTTTTTAAACCGGGTCCCAGACGATTGAAGTGAATGTGGTTTGATTTCAGTCTCAAGCTGAGCACACAGAGCGTCAGATTAAACAGCAGTTTGAGAAGCTTCATCAGTTTCTCAGAGATGAAGAAGAAGCTACAATCACTGCAC